CCCGTCACCTGGCGCAGGGCACGGAAGTCTTGGCCCTCCTGGCTCGTGCCGAGGGGCAGAGAGGATTGCCGCGGCCGTGCGTGGCACTGCCCGGTCCCACAGCGCGCCTCCTTGCGCTGCCTTCCAGGGACGCTGTCACGGCAGGGATTTAAACGCCGTTTCCAACGTTGTCTTTATAAATGCGGGGAGGAATGCTTCTGGACTGAGGGACAAAGCTGGGCTCAGCTGGGTGTTTCTCAGGCGCTTGGAAAGCTGAGGATCAACACTGCTCCCATGGCGGCCTTTGGTTTCACCAAAAGGAGAGCGGGTCTCTCCTCTTCAGCAGCGGAAGGAGTTTCCACCTTCCCTCAGCTTTGCCAGAGTTGCTGAGATGTTGCCAAACTTCGGTGGGAAGCATCACCCGAGGTGGCACGAGGTGGCCACGCTGCAGCTACGCGATGGGGGTGCCCAGCCCAGGGACCCATCGAAACCAGGGTTGCCCCGGGAACACCGACAGTGTGGAACGCTGTCGGTGTTCCCGGGGCAGCCCTGGTTTCTACCGTCTTCTGTACCTGTGGTGGGAACACACCATGGTGCCCAACCCCCAGCAGGGGTCCAGAGAGCCAGGGCCGGAGCTCGCCCAGCTGAACTGGTTTTTCGAACCCATCCCCACAGAGATTGGGCACCTCTTGGTGCGGGTCTCATCACCGAGCCACGATGGATCAGACTCAGAGAACAGTTGAGGTGGGAAGGGACCTTTGGAAATGCTCATCCATTCCCTGCTCAAAGCAGGGTCAGCTAGAGCTCAGGACCACATCTGGTTGGGTTTTGAGTATCTCCAAGGACGGAGATGCCAGAACCTCTCTGACCAACCTGTGCCAGTGCTTGACCATCCTCACAGAAAAAGCTTTTCTGAAGTTTAACTTGAATCCCTGCACTTCAGTTGCAGTTTGGCGCTTGGTCTTTCACGGGGCACCACTGAGGAGCATATGCCTCTGTCTTCTTTACCCCCCACCAGGTATTAATAGACACGGATAAGAACACACACACCCCCCCCCCAGCCTTCATTTTTCCAGGCCAAACAGCCCAAGCTCTCTCAGCCTCTCCTTATAGGACAGCTGCTCCAATCCCTTAATCATCTTAGTGGCCCTTATGGTCCTGGAAAGGGAGCAGGTTAAAGCAGCAAAGGCAGGGACCCCCCCCACGGCATCGCCCCGTGGCGCTGCCAGCCACGAGCTGGAGCAGGCAGCGATCGCATTGGCACTGCCAGCGCTGGCGGAGCTGGGGATTTACGGCCCCCAGGCTGAGCAGGGTCTGTCCATCAGCGTTTCCCGGGGTTTCTAAGCAACTCCCAGCAGGTTACAGCCTCCGTGTCCTTTTTCCTCACCTCACTGGAGCAGAGCTTTTTGGGATGGCTCGGGTAGAACGCCACGCGTGGCCGGACACGCAGGGCACGGCCAGCATGCGGCTCCATGCTAACGCTGCACAGCACGTCACGGCGCATGGGGCGTCCCAGATGGGACACCGCCTTAGCGTAACCACTGTTGGATGCAGTTTTACCTGCAGATGGGACTGCGGGAAGGGGACAACCAGGGGACACTTTGCTGCATCACTGCCAGCTTAGCCTTCCTCCACCTGCGTTGGGGGCCGGACAAGCCCCAGGAGGGAAGCAGCGTGTCTCCCAAAGCACCGCATCGCACCGTCAGCTGTAGGCAGCAAGAGATGTGGGATGCGGGTCCCAGCTGCCACATACAACTGTGGACAAGAGCACCCGAGAGGTGGAAAGTGGCCCAGCCATCTTCTACGTTTGGTTTCATTTCTTTTCCCCCCCTGAATAACTGCTGGAAATAAAAACAGCCCAGTGCTTCAGTGGCCAGAGCTACGAGTTCAATTCACTCACCTACGTGGGTGTCCTCCTTGCCCTGCCGAAACCTAGCCCCATCCCCGCAGAACAATACCACCTTCCAAGATAAGCTAAGGTGTAGCTTATCTAAGGCTGTAGAGAGATCGGAGGAGGAAAGCAGCCTTCTGTCAGGGCAGGCAGGGAGCTGCAGGTCAGGACAAAATGACTCTGCTCCTGGAATTGCAAGGAATACTCTCATTATTTATGTGGCTTTAAGAACGTCTGGGGAAAAAAAAAACCCACCAGATTAATTTAGGAATCTAGTGCCCAGCCCCTTGCTCTGAATGGGCCTACGCCAGCACTGCCGAAGACCTCTGCCCCACGGACACTGCCAGGTCACCTGGAATTGCAGGACTGTCATTTTAACTGGAATAAACTTAAAAAAAAAAAAAAAAAAGGTCTTGGTTTTGGAGCAGCACTCACTTAAAACGTTCACTGCAGTTTGCATCCTGCTTGGGTTTTTTTTTTTTATTTGAGGGCTAGGGAGGAGTATGACAACCATCACAAGAGCCAGCTGTTTGAAAGGAGGCAGGGGACTCAACTTTTCCCTCCAGGACTTAATGTCTCCTCCAGCCCTCGCGCAGGAACCGCACCGCTCCATGGGGTGAACTCCCTGGGAGCCACTCTCACAGCACACGGGGACAGACACAGCACCACAGAGCATGTTTTGCGGCAGTGTGTTTGCTGTTTCAAAGGAGACAGTGTGCCAGCACCACGTTTGTCAGCCAAATCTGTGTCAGCGCTTAAAACATCTCCCTCTCGTACGGACGTGCTTGCGCTCAGCAGCACCGACTGTTGCAGCTACTTGCTTTTCTTGTAGGAGCTGCAGCCCGTGGGAGGGTGTCTGTGTCACAGTTACATTACCCATATGCTCTGGCTTTGGCAAGACGTTCCTTTTCCTCATTTACTGCTGTCTTCCTTTTAATTAAAGGCGTGCATATGGATTCTGGAGCACTGGGCGGTATCGGTTTTTACCTGCTGGTCTCAGGGTAGCGTCCTGAGGAGCCCCTGCAGATCATCAGCGCAAAATAACTGATCAGCAGGCGCACCCTCCTCTTGGACGGCATCGGGGCTGGTGCCAGGCTGTGACACCAAGAGCACCCACCAGCCAGAACGAGCCCAGGCAGACGCTGCCGCCTTGGAGCGCCGCAAGCTCCCGTCAGCCCTCGTGTAAGAAATGTCTTAAATCTTGATGCCAAGTCATTTTTAGGGGGTTGTAGTTTGGGAATCTCCGGTTTGAGCAGCCTTAAAGTTGGACCTCTCACCTTATCCCAGGCCTGTACGAAATCACGTTTCCACGGCATTCACTAGGGCACTCAGAAATGATTCGAACGGCTAAGTAGCCCGCGTTGAACCACGGCAAAGCAACAGCCTCCTCACGATCGCTGATGTGTTCCTCGCAGGGCTGTCAGGCACATACGTACGGGCTTGTTCTCCACGGACCGCTCCTAGGGTGACAGCTGGGGCCTCATTTCGTACGGAGACCAAAGTGTGCTCCAGGCAGTCTCCTGGAGCCAGCGCTCCTCTCCATTTTGATTCCTGCCTGAACCGAGTTTTGAGCTTAAAGCAGGATTCATGGCTACACACGAAAAGATATGCCATTCTTCCAAAAATTACAGCATGAGAATTGATGGGTTGACAGCTTTGAATAAATGTAAATGATTTTTAAAAAAATTCCCGCTACAGAACCTCATTTCCCCAGAAATGTTCTTAGCAGATTCTTCATGCTGTACTGACTTAATTTCCTTTTACACCAACCCGTCTAGTGGACGAAGGGAAGGCAATGGATGGGGGTTTTTTTGGATTTTAGCAAAGCTTTTGATAGTCCGACAGGAGTCGGACTCGAAGATCCTCGTGGGTTCCTTCCAACTCAGGATATTCTGTTTCTATGATTCAAATTTCTCATGCGATGAAGATCCCAGCGGTCATGGTTGTGGGCTACACCCTGTCACCTCTCATAATTAATGGTCACTTTTTGCCATTGCTTTGTAACTATTTTTTTTCCTCCTTCAGCCAAGGCTGAAGAAACAGAGCTACATCCTCGTGACTCAACACAGCTCGTCCCCTCTGGCCGCTCGGTAAGCTACAGTTCCCCCGCTGTAACAAATTAATGGACTCAGCCTGGTGTCATAAACCTCAGAAGGGAACTCGGTCTCGGTTGTCAACAGCCCCGAAAAGGCATATGGGCGCTCACAACGCAGCCCATGGCACTGCCCCCAGTGCTCTGCTTCTTCGCAAGGACTGGGAGAGCTTAGGCAGGAGAAACCCGTAAAGCAGGGTCAGGACCTGATCTTCCCACTCGCCACACCACCTCTCAGCCAAACTCCCTCCTCACGGAGCAGCAGCCCGGCAGACCCTTCTCCTCTCCATGACACAGCTCAACAAGGCATAAGCATTATTCAGACCAGGATTTAAGGGCACAGTTTACACATGTTAACGTTTGCCTGATGGTTTTGTCACTCGCTAAGCAGGTCGGGGTAAAGCCTAGGCTGTTGAACAGCTTTTACCCTGCCCTGCAGTGACATCTCAAGGGGCAAAAATTTGGGGCAAGATTTTTCATATCAGTTTCAATTGTAACAGTCTTACAACTCTCTAGTCCTACCAGCACGGGTTTGTGTTGAGGTTTCTTTACATTGAGTCTTCTCTCTGAATTCCTGGCCTTATCGTCCTCCAGGGATTGATAGGTGAGTAAAAGGAGCAAAAAATGCAGCTTCCTTCCAATGCATCTTATTTTGGAACCATTAATATTTTAACCCATTACTCTAGCTCCATTTCACATGTGCTTATGGTAAGAAAATACAAAGAGGATGCAGCATGAGCTTGTAGAATTCTCCCCTCCTTTCAGCTTGCCTGTCAGTCAGTTATAGGTCTGCAACAACGCTACTGGAGATGGGAAAGTATGTTAAACCTGAAGGATTCAGCAACGCAGGAAACTGCAGAAAATGAAAGACACGCGAGCCCCCGTGCTTCCTCATTTAAATTCATGCATCTCACTATGGATCCTGTAGCTGTTTCCACCTTTTGGGGCTGGAGGGGGGCAGTCGTGGACAGACTGCTGTGGCATCTAACTTCTGACGGGCAGGACCCAACCTTGTTAACTCCCCTAGAAGCTCCCTGCTAAGTACCTGGCACCACATTCACCATTCCTGCAGTGCTGAAGCTAACGTGAGCAGCTTGTCCCACTCGATTACGAGCTTGGCAAGCCCAAGGACCTTTAAAACCACCGGGCAAATACCGCCTAATTCCACTAACTCGTTGGCATTTATAAAATTGCCCTACAACTTTCCTAGGGATTAATTCATGACAGTATTGGCTCCTCTTCAGAAAAGCTTCTGCCTTTCAACCGGCGAACCCCTCCTCAGCACGGGGGAAGGCACAAATTTCAGCCGTGGCCTTATCCTCCTCACGAGCTCCTTCCCCCGGAGCCCAGGCACAGCCTCCCGCTCCGGCGGGCCCCAAGGTTTCGCTTAGGTGAAGGGGGGGGGGGGGGTGTTTGGTCATGC